TGTTTTGAAGGGCAAATATCAAGAACACCCCAGAGGATGGTACCACGAGGCACCCTTTATTTGTCAGATGATGCATCAAGAACTACACAGCTACTGATGAGCAAAGTCCTTGTACTTTACATTCAGGCCTATTTGCACTTGATATTTTTATAAAGGACTTAGATATTGCCTTAATTTTGAGATATTCCAAGTGTTCTCTACTTATATATATATATAATGTCAGTAAGGGAGGTGGGACTGAATTTGAGTGCATCCAGCAATGCAACACTTAGTGTGCTTGAAATAGCTTCACGAAGACACACAGAAGCTTCAGCACTGAAATGGGGATTGTGTTTTTGTTCCCCAATGAAGGACTTAGTGACAAGAATTGGTGTTAGTGGTAAGAGCTGGCAAATAGAGCTCAGGACCCTGCTGCAAGGTAATGGGGGTGGTAGACTTTGTTTTATTCTTTATAAACTTTAGGGATGGCTGCAATTTTCTACCATAGTAAATACATCAGGCTGGAACCTTGGTGATGCATTTTGGGTTTTGGAGAGGGTGGGAGGGGTTTAGGGGGTTGTTTATGGGGTGGGATTTTTGTGTGGTTTTATTTTGGTTTTATTTTTTTAACTGTTAATTATTATAGATTGCTGATGGGGTGTTTTATTGAACAGACTTGGAGCCAGAGCTGACTCCTTGCAGAGAGATGCATGTCTTCAGCTGCATCCATCCATCATCCATTACCTCACTTGTACCCATTAAAGACATCAAGCAATTAGGATCAGTCATCTCTTAGTTTGAAGCTTCTCCTCTTACACGTGTTGAATCACAGCAACAAGAGAAAGCACAGAGCACTTAGAATGTGCCATAACACACAGAATAAAAGCTCTCTGTTAAACAAGGAAGACGTGGATTGCTCCCTGCAAACACACTTTGTACATCCATTGCTGTCTGACAGACAGTGCAGTCCCCAGCACCACACTTAAGCCTGGTCCAAAACACAAGCTACTTTCTACGTAAGATGAATCAAGTAACAGAGGAGCTCACAAAAGCCTCCAATAACAATTAATCTATCAGTTAATGAAGCAGACTGCTGCAGATGAGGCTCCAGGAGCCAAGCTGTAACACACAGCTCCAGCTCTTTGTCCCATTTCAATCTGCATTGTATCTGTGCTTCACTGCGTAACCACATCACCAACCTTAAACTGTACAGATGCAGGACTCAGTTTTTCTTCAGTCAGTGGGGAATAAACAGCAGCTGAACTTTTACCATTCCTCATTGGATCCCCTTGGAAAGGCAGGTGCACGGTCTCAGGCCAACTCCTCTCCTCCTGTTGCTTCCAAAGGCTTCTGGAACAAAAAGTTTTGACACAGCATTAATTTGAAGTAGAACTAAAGCACAGTAAGCAACACAAAGTCCAAGCTCCCACCCCAATGCACAACTACAGCCCCTGGGTAGAACACTACACAATTCAAGACAAGTGCTTTGAATTTAAAGGTAACTAAATGAGTTTTGTTGGAATAAGATATTAAGAATAAACCCGTTTAGGTGACACTGGGGCTGAAGCTGCAGTTAGGACCCAGATACCTCCTGCACACCCTTCACTGGAGCTGTGCCACAGCTTGTCCAGTAGTTTTATTCAGGAAGTAGATGGGGTTTGTCCATCAGGTTGCAAAGAGTGTTCCAGTGAGGAGGAAATGGGGCTGCTCCACATCCATCAGAGGCACTCACCAGGGGATGGAGCAGTTGAAGGGACACAGAGAGCAGTTGAAGCCTATCATAGGGTCAGCAAGAGAGAGATGTATCACAAGTGCACTGCGAATCCAATAAACATGATGGGTTATTTAATAGATTCAAGTCAAGGCACCTTCCTGCTAAGCTCCCACATCAAAGCAGGCACTACAGATGCTTTATTTTCCAACAGCAAGGGGCACATAAAGTCACCAGGAGAGGAAAGCAAGGACTTAAGAGGCCACTGCAGTTCTTTCAACATCACAACACATTATAGAGAGCAGCTATTCCAGTTTTGGATGCAGTATTAATGACTTAAGCTGTGTTTCCAAGCAATGCTGGCCACTCATCCTTTAACCCAGGTCTCAGATGTTTATGCCCCACCACCACATTGAGCACACTCAATCAAACCAGATTCTTACAGTAATACTAAGCATTAGAAAAGCTTTTCTTTATACTCAACCTCTTACATCTTGCCATGAGCAATAAGCCAGAAGTACACCCACAACAGGAGCTGCAGCATCCCACCAGCCACTGGGGACCCTGAGGACAAGCTCAGCTTTGCTGAGGCATACTGAGGACAAAGGTTTACCAGCTTTTAGCAGCTGCACAGATGTTTTCCAGCTTCTTTAAGGAAAACAGTGGGATGGGTAATTACAAGCTCAATTGTTGGGTGTCTCAGCAGGTAGCATGAACCTCAGCATGCCCTATAAGGCAAATACATAGTACAAAGCTTCACTGCAACACATAGATTGATTTGGGGTTTTATTACTATGTTTTGAAAGACCTCTCCTAAAGCCAGAGTTTTTGGCTCACCTGGAGCTGCCAACATGCTTCTGTTCTATGCTTCTGTGCTTGAGCAAGCAGCAACTTTTAGCAGAACCAACAAGCACATCACACCCTGCGTGCTTGCTGAACAGCCACATCCATCACCAGGGGAACAGCATCAGTTGGGTCTGTGTATAACAACAAGTAGTTAAACCCACCCAGGCACACACCATAACCTACCACAGAGACAGGGATTACAATGGAGTAGGAGCAACCTGCTCTAGTAGAAGGTGTCCCTGCCCGTGGCAGGGGCTGGATCTGGAGAAGCTTTAAGGTCCCCTCAACACAAACCAGTCTGGGATTCTGTGATGCTCAGCTCTACACTCCCACCTTATTTCAGGGTCACCCATGTCTGTCCATACCGGTGACAGCAACACTTTTAGGTGGACAGAGCAGGCTTTCCTTAATCAATAACACTCACACATTGCCTAGTCAATGTACCTCCTATTGCCCTCCATCTCCAAAAAAAAGGGTTAAAGGCTTGTTATAGAAGTTACCCATTCCACACACAGCCTGGCTGGGAACTGCTCTACAAATGCAATTACAGCCATGACAATCTCATTGCTTCTTTCTACTGTGTTAACCCAGCAACTCTCTGTCATCTCTCACTTATGGGGCACCTCCATCACCCAGTGTGGTGACAAGTAATTCTGCACACCCTGCTCAAAGAAACCTTCGTGCCTTCCTTTTAGGCACCAGCTTGCTAAAACACACACCTGGATGATCAGCAAATATTTGCTCTTGTATTTGTCCAAGGAAAGAGGGAACATCCCCACTAAAGACCTACATTTTAAGTAGCAAAAACCTCACCAAGGGGGATTTAGCATTAGCTAGATAACACCAGGGCAAGGAAAACCAGCAAAGTAGTAACATTATTTGATCAAAGGGGAAAGAGGTATTTTTCCCCTCTTTCTTTCCCCTCTTTCTTTCCAATCTAAGTGGGTTCCCTCTTTCTTTTCAGTCTACAGAGGGTTATATCCTATGCACTAAGCATCCTGTTAATGGCAGATACTCTATAACAAGTGACCCTGCTTCTAGTCCCATGGGGATAATTAATAACCAGAGCACGTCACCTCCACAGAGCACATTTGAAGCTCTCACTCCAGTGCAGGAGACCCACATCAGCCCTAGCTAATGCCAACCCTCCTGGAGAAACGGTTCCTCCTCAATGCCAGCCTGCTTCACAACCCCTGGTAACAGTCCTCTGCGTGTGGGTACCAAATGTGAAAGCCCAAATTGCACCCACCATGGTTTCTTTGCTCCTCAAGGTCCTTTTCCTGACAGCAGCACTAAGCAATGGTCACCTTCCAGCCCTGCTCCTAAAGGAGAACATCACGTCAGACACACAACACTCACTCTTCCAGGGGATTGCAATTGCTCTGAGCCAGGGAGCATTTTTCCTTCCTCCCAACTCCTGGAGTTGTCCACATTGATGAGGAACTTTCAGGTCTTTCACTAATCCTGCTTAATGAAGTCTTTTAAAGCCAGTTTTGCCCTTGATGGCAGGAAGCATCTCGCCGTGCTCTTCTGCTGCCAACCAAAACAGGGACCTGAGGGGAACAAACCCCACATACCCCCAGACACCAAGTGCAAAGCAGAGTCCCAGAATTGAAAGGTTTTGTTTGGAAGTGACTGAAGAGGTTGCTGCACAGACCAGTTCTCAGAGACTTACCAGGAGTATCCGTATGCTCAATCCGGACAGGCTGAAGCCATCCTCTTGCTCTGAGGGTCCCTTCTCCAAGCTGAACCCTGCATGTCTCACCCTTCCTCTCAGCTATTAAAGAGAATTTTTAAGGTTCCTTCCAACCCAAACCATTCCATGAGAGTGGC